AGTCTCTGTCTCCATATTCCTATCCCTAGTTGTGGCTCTTGTGGCTGCAAAAGGGGCAGAGAAGAAAGGAACAGGAGCAGGCGTAGAATGCAAATGTGCTCCCTCACCTACCTCTGACACCATAACCATAGAAGCTTGGTATAAATAAATCATGTAGGGATTTACTCATTGTAGGGAAAGGCTGCAAATTTCCACAGAACCAGGCACACTCACACTCATGTGGAAGAAACAAAGCAAATGCCTAGAAAATGGTAAAAACCCTTTGCTTGCTCACCACTTTAGATTTATGGATGCAGAGGCTGTAGAACATAATCTGGCATACGATAAGTCCTACATAAGTGTTTATTTAAAAAATCAAACCTACAGTCTCCAAGATACGGAAGCAGCCCCAGTGCCCGTCAATAGATAGGTAGATAAAACAACTATGGCACATTTACACATTGGAATTCTACTCAGCCATAAAAAAAAAAGAAAGAAAATTTTATCCTTTGCAACACTATGGATGGGCCTGGAGATTATTATGCTAAGTTAAATAAGCCAGTCAGCAAAAGACAAGTACAATATGATTTCACTCATACGTGGAAGCAAATGAACAAACTGAACTAATAAGCAAGAGAGACAGATTCAGATGGAGAGCAGGAGGTTAGGGGGTGGAAGGATTGAGCAAAAAGGGAAAAGGACTCATGGACAACAGTGTGATTACTGGGGCAGGGGGTATAAGGGGACTAAATGGTAAAGGGAAAAATACAATAAAGATTAAATTAGAAAATCATACTACCCTCCATGAGAACGCAAAGACCTGAGATATTTGCTGTATATCCATTTTTAAAATTTGACTAAAGTATCTGTTGATTTCCAGCCTATAGTTTCAATCAACCAAGGGGGATTTTCAAAGACTTTGGTATGCCATTGGCAAAACACCTTCAAATGAGAAAGGAACATTCCCCAGACTTGCAGGGACCTGTCGGAGGGAGGCTAAGAGTTCTGTTCTGCAGTCTCGCCCCACAAGTGCCAATCGCCTGCTAAATCTGAGGGGTGGGGGCCAAGGCTGCTCCACACAGCCCCCTGCATGTTTACCCCACCCTTCCTGCCCAACCCCAGCCAGCTCCAAACAAAAATTCCAGCTTGTGTGTCCTCCAATGAGCCCAGGCCCCTTTCCTTCTGCATGTGCAAACTGCTTCTCTCTCAGCACCAGGGTAGGAAACTGTAGTGAGAGGCTAGGCTATGGATCTGGGGCCCCCACAGGTTGCTTTGCTGTGGACATTTATGGTTTTACCCAGGCTGTTTTCAGACATCGGTCTCAAAGTCTTAGAGAGGCTGGTGGGGTTCCCAGCATCACAAGGCAACTGTGGCCAGATGTGGTACATGAGGGAAGGTTGGGGTACCTAGCTCCCCAGTTTACAAAGGGCTAGTCTTCTCTATGTCATTGCCACCCTGAGAATCCTGCTGATATCAAAGCTGAGAGCCAGAGCTGGGTGTGGGCAGAATTCCCGCTGGGTTTGTTGGAGGCAGAAGAATTCTTCCCCCAACTCCTCCCTGAGGCGAGTGCTTTGCAAAGAGCTGCTGGGGCTCGTGCTGCTCCACCTGCCCTTCCCCATCCGCTGAACCTGGCTCAATACTCCATCAGGGAACAGCCAACCATTGCCTAGGGAACAGGTGACTCATGCCTCAGCTATGGTTCCTACTTTTTGTATTAAACACTCATGATGAAAAGTCTGCAAAGATGAGGGCACTGCAGCTTTCTTTCTCTCCTGGAGGGAGACATGGTGGCTCGGACAGGGCATGGGGGCTACTCGTAGGCTCAGGTGCAGTGTGGTCTCAGGGTCAGGGGTGGGGGAGAGGAATGGAGGGAAGCCCAAGGAATAAGGAGTCATGAACTCTGTCATCAGAGGGTGCCCAGGCTGAAGGGGACAGGAGACTTGCCCTCTAGACACAGATTCAGGGACAGAAGCAGGGGTACAAGACTAGAAATCAGCGTGGGGCTGGAAGGGCCTCACACAAGAATCTAGGGAAGGAGTAGAGGGAAATGATCTTATGTCTGTCACTTTAATTCAAAGAGTGCTGAGCACCTCCAGTGGGCAAGGCTGGGCTGCGTGTGTGGCGATGTGAGGGTGAGCCAGGTGTGTTTCCTAACCTTGGGAAGTGTATTTTCCTGTGAGACCTAGAAGACATGTGCAAAACATCTTCTATTAAATAGGTGTGTTACTGAATATGTTCTATTCTATAGCTCTTCTATTAAGGTATGCAGATTTCCATGGGGACTCCTATGAGGGAGCCCTGGGCTCTACTGCAGGTTTTGCCTAATCCTTGCCCCATGGGACCCTGCACCCGCTTGCACCCTGCCTGGTCTTGGAGGTGCCTCCCTGTTTAGAAACACTGCCCCCTATTCTCCATCCCTGCACACCTCTGTGAGGGAGGCCAGAGCAGTCTTCCCTGTCACCTCTCTGCCAGGGAGACCAGCAGGGCCGACCACTATAGCTCACTTAACCTTGCACTCATTTTTGTGGATGGGAAAAACAATGCCCAATGAAGCTAAGTGATGTATCCTGCCAAGTCTTGGTAATTCCCTCTGTGGGCACTCGGTGGAAATGCTCAGTGAGCCCTGTGTAATCCCCTTTCTTCCTGCCACAGTGACATTCCAGGCTGGGGTGGGACTCTCCCACAGTGCGGTGTGTGGGTGCCTGGCTCCACCAGGGAAGCACCTCCATTGTTTATAGCTGTCCAGGTCCGGCATTGTGGGAGGGGTTGCCCTGCCTGCTGGGGGAGGGTTCCTACAAAGCTGGACAGAAGAGTGCTCCCCCTCAGAAAGCACCCAAACACTCCTGGCCACAGTTGCTTGCCACCCACACACCATTGGTCCCTGGCATCTGAATCTGAGCTTGGCACACCCCAGCGATTCTCAGACCAGCCAGAATGTATTCCTGTTCCACCAAGTCCTTCTCTTCCACAACAAGATGGGATTGGAGAGAAGACAATGTCCCAGTATCTCGAGAAGGGTGGAGCTTCCCCAAGGGCTGTGGGGACTGCATCCAGGGCCTGTGTGCGAGGGGACATACCCTGGTGGTAATCTACTGGAGAGAGAAAACTCATGCTAGGAATCCTCAGACACTTGCCTCAAGCTTGGATCTGTTCTGACAAAGGCCAGGGGGCCCCCAATATGTCTCAGGGCCCCCAAGACACTGACGTCTGTTCCCTGAGAGGTATCAAAGTGTAAAATTGGTAAACTCAGTAAAATTCATCTCTGAGAGTCTCAGAAATTTTCCTGGCAGGGAAGCCTCCCAAACCATATTACCCAGAAGCTGTAAGGCCAGCTCTGGCCATCAATCTGTCTGTCTGGATTTACCTGTCTATTGCTTTCTCAGCGCAGCCTCTGGTGAGCAATCAAATTCTCAGCAGCTTCAAGTCATTTTCCCACAGCCGTGGCTTCCTTGAGGCCAAGGACAGGCCCTGACTAGAGATCCCAGAGCTCAGGCTGGGTCTTCACTCCTTTATTCTTGAAAATGTAGCCCTTCAGCCCTGAGGCTCTGAAGCCATCCCTATCCCCCACCCCTACCTCCAGCCCCAGCCCAGGGGTGCCCCCCCCATCGCTCTTGATGGCTCAAGTGCTGCCTGAGAGTCCTGCTCCTTTTAGGGGGAGGTAAAGAGGTGGCTCTACTCAAGTCTGCAGCCAAAAAGAGGGGGTATGGTTTTGAGCAAACATTTGCCAAAGCCTGACCAGACCCCCCCCTCTCCTCCACCTGGTATCATAGCCCACCCAAGAAAGCTTTGCAGAGGATCTTCTTACAAGGGGCTTCCCTAAAACAACTGGGGCAGATTGTTATACCAGCTCCCCAGTCCCCCTAACCTGCTCTGTCTAGTCTCACTGGCAGGACAATCCATAGACGGAGAATTCGGTTTTCCATTCCCCTGGCCCTGAAGGAGACTTTGGGCCAGAGCCCAGAGAAAACACAGCAGTTCCCGCTGCTTGGAGCGGGCGGTTCTCCGTTATAACAGGCCGCTGGATTCTAAACACGTTCCTGATGAGATTAGAAGCTCCTGCAGGTATGTGTTTGTGGCAGCCCTCAGCCTGTATCAACAGATACACGATGACTCATTTCTTGTCTAGTGGAATAACCAAGGGCTTGCTGGAACACACCTGGGGGCCGGGGGAAGGGCAGAACAGCTCTCCCTGAAGGGGCACAGAGCTGCCAGGTTGAGTCTCAAGACTTTTGTGAGGGATTGCAGGGACCCCTGGACTCACTCATCCCTGCAGGGTGATGCCCAGGCCCAAGTGCAAGGAGGAAAGGTCAAACACCACAGAAAATTCTGAATCAGGAGGAGCTGTGGAGGGATAGTTCTGCCCCTGCAGAGAGCAGAGTGGTATAGACCAGGGGCTGAGTGTGCCCATTTTCTGTTTCTGAAGCTTGGAACTTAGCCTTTCTGGCCCGAACCTCGCAGGAGAATCTTTCCCTAGTCTCGGGAATAACTGTGCCTCCCCCAAGAAAGGAAGTTCTGCAGTAAAGGATTGGTCCATTTTCCCCCTCTGGTTCATAACTGAGATATCAAGCCATAGTTACCTTCCAAGAACTCAAAATCCTTACAGCAACCGCCTGTCTAAAAGAGTGAGAAGGGCAAATCACCACCAGCAGGGACTCACTTTGTCTTCCACTCACGGACAGTGTACACTGTGCTGGGATGGTTGATCACATCCCTGGTCCTATAAGGATCCCTTGGGACATTGGCCAAGTGCCCCCTTGCTCCCTGGCATCCTTCTTGGGCTACTCACAACCCTGGGTCCCCACGGGGAAGTGCGAGTTGCTGCCAAGGCATCAGTGCTGCAAGGCAAGGTTATTCCTAACTGATCAGAGTCTGCCAGGAAGAAAGTGTTTGCACTCCACACCACTGTGCAGGTGTGACGGTGAGCTCACAGCTGCCCCCCAGGCGTGCCCAGCCCACTTAATAATTTCACAGCTCGGCAACTATCCCGCCCAGCCCTGTTCTACAGGATAAAAGGGGGGATTGCAGGTCCCGGGTAACAGAGCCACCTTCTGCGTCCTGCTGAGCTCTGTTCTTTCCAGCACCTCTCAATCGCCTTGCTCCACTAGGAACAAGCCATCATGTCTCGCCAGTCGAGTGTGTCCTTCCGGAGTGGGGGCAGCCGTAGCTTCAGCGCTGCCTCTGCCATCACCCCATCTGTCTCTCGCACCAGTTTCACCTCTGTGTCCCGAGCTGGGGGTGGTGGTGGTGGCGGCTTTGGCAGGATCAGCCTTGGGGGTGCTGGTGGAGGAGGTGGCTATGGCAGCCGGAGCCTCTACAACCTGGGGGGCTCCAAGAGGATCTCCATCAGCACTGGCGGTGGCAGCTATAGAAACAGATTTGGTGCTGGTGCTGGAGGTGGCTATGGCTTTGGAGCTGGGAGTGGATTTGGCTTAGGCAGTGGAGCTGGTGGTGGCTTTGGGCTTGGTGGAGGTGGTGGTGGCTTTGGGCTTGGTGGAGGTGCTGGCTTTGGGCTTGGTAGTGGAGGTGGTGGCTTTGGAGGTGGCTTTGGGGGCCCTGGCTTCCCCGTCTGTCCTCCTGGAGGCATCCAAGAAGTCACTGTCAACCAGAGTCTCCTGACTCCCCTCAACCTGCAAATCGACCCCGCCATCCAGCGAGTACGAACTGAGGAGCGGGAGCAGATCAAGACCCTCAACAACAAGTTTGCCTCCTTCATCGACAAGGTGAGCCACGATCCTTTGTGAAAAACTACTGTGAGTGTGGAACAAATAACAAAAAAAAAGGTAGGAAGAGGAACATTTCCTGACTTTGTATAAATACTGTCATAGTTTGCAGTTAATATTTTTCTATTTGTTTCTGTCCCAGATTTACAGCTGCTTTCCTAATTAGAATGGCAGCTTGGAAGACGAGGTCTTAGTTCTTCCCATTCAGAAATTACCCCATATGGGCTCCTTGATTACTGTTGGGCAAAGAGACTAATTCTGTGCTTCATGTAATGGGGTTGATTGCATAGAAAGGTGGATGAGTTCATTGGGCAGTAACCTGAGTGGCTTCCCAGCCCCCACTACACTGGTCCACACTCCTACTAGCCGAGTCCAGTGCTATCTGTGCTCTGTCCTCCCAGAAGAGAGAGGTTAGGTGCTTCACCCTGTACCTCCCCTCCCAGGGCCCAGGGACAGGCACTGCACATGGGAACGTTTCAGGGGGACAGCATGAGAAGGAAGAAAAACTGGTGAGGATCATCAAAACATGAGATCTAGGTTTCCCTAGCTTTAAACTCTGTCCCTTCCAGGTGCGCTTCCTGGAACAGCAGAACAAGGTCCTGGACACCAAGTGGACCTTGCTCCAGGAGCAGGGTACCAAGACCGTCAGGCAGAACCTGGAGCCTCTCTTCGAGCAGTACATCAACAACCTCAGGAGACAGCTGGACAGTGTCCTGGGGGAGAGAGGCCGCTTGGACTCGGAGCTGAGGAACATGCAGGACCTGGTGGAGGACTTCAAGAACAAGTGAGTTGGGGCACAGTGGAGACAGGGGCTGGTGATACTCTTGACACCAGATGTACTTTATAACCAGACTACTGCTTATGCCTTCCCCACAGGCTAGACACATATGCCTCCCATGGACACCTGAAGTACTAAAATAAAATCCAGGTTTATGTTTAGAAAGTTCCAGCCCCTAGCTCAGTCCCTGTGCAAGGCCCTTAGCCACCAGCCAGAGCAACAAGCTTGATGTCTCTGATACCAGCTGGGGAAATAGTTAAGCAGTGTAATCCCTGCTCTTTGGGACTTCCCTCCCCAAAGCACTGAGGTCACAGCATGGGCTTTTTGATGGATTCCCTCTGACGTGGGAACTGATGACATGACTCAGCTTGGTGGCTCAAATAATTCCATTAGCCCTTAAGAACCAGCAGCCGGGTTGTTGGTTTTTCTTTTTCTTTTTTGCTTTTTTAAGAGCTGTGAAATCTAAAAAAAAAAAAAGAGCATTGGAGAAATAGACTAGATGTGCAGTTGGGAAGAAATAGTACAGGTTTTTATAGGACTACTCTTCAAGCAACTGAATTACAGCAATAATAGAATGATTATCTGGTGGGCAGTTAAAGAGAGCACAGTATCCTAGGGAGTGAGGACCTTGCCCAGCAGCTCACACCACTAGTGCCCCCTCCCTCTCTGCCTTCATGATGTGAGAAGAGAAGCCCCTTCCCAGTGAGAAAGTAGGCTCACAGTTGACTTTATGCAATAAAGACCCCAGGCCTCACCTGTCCCTCATCTTCTAATATGCACTCCCCATGCCTTTTACCCCAGGTACGAAGATGAAATCAATAAGCGTACCACCGCTGAGAATGAGTTTGTGATGCTGAAAAAGGTGCGTCAGTAGAAGAGAACCTGTTGCCCATGGCTATGCTCTCTTAAGGTGTCCTTCATTTAAGTCAGGATGGAAATTGGGTACAGAGCCAACCATCCCTGTTTCTCTAGGATGTGGACGCCGCCTACATGAGCAAAGTGGAGTTGGAGGCCAAGGTCGATGCACTGATGGATGAGATCAATTTCTTGAAGATGTTCTTTGAGGCGGTAAGAAATGCCCCTGTTCAGGTCCCAGAAAGATGGTCAGTGGGACACCACCAGGGATAAGGGTTTCCAGGAGGAAGTGACTCCACTGGCTTCTAAGCTGTGGGCACATCATTATCTTTCCTATCCCTTCAGTACTACTCGCACTTTATTGTTTATGAAGTCAGATGAAAAACAAAGTCAGATTTGAAGCAGAAGACTTCAACGGTCACTTTGCTGCATGAGGTTTAGAGTGAGTTATCTGAGACACAGTACACCTTTCCCGTTTTGTCTCAGTGTGGCAGAGCGGTCCATTGGGTTCTTTTGAAATAAGTTACGATCCAAGATGAGTCACACCTGAGAGGTTACATAATAGAGATTTCATGGAGGTTTGCATTGTTAAAGTTTTTAAAAATAAATTTAATAATGGTTCTGATTATTTATTAACCATTTGATGTAGGTGGCTATTATTTTTTCTCAAGTTGACATACCACCATGAGTAGAATATTGGAGTGGACCTGACCTAAGATAGCACAGAATCAGATGACTGACTTCCAGTTTCCCTGCAGGAGCTGTCCCAGATGCACACGCACATCTCGGATACCTCTGTGGTCCTCTCCATGGACAACAACCGCAGCCTGGACCTGGACAGCATCATCGCCGAGGTCAAGGCCCAATATGAGGACATTGCCAACCGCAGCCGGACAGAAGCCGAGTCCTGGTACCAGACCAAGGTGGGTGTCACGGTGAATGTGTCCCTAGCAAGGGGATGGGCACATGTCCAGGATTCCAGGCCATAACAAAATGCTAATGATGGGGTTAATAAAACCTGTGGAAGTCTCTTGGGTTTGGTTATGAGAACATTCACATGTGCCTTTGCCATATAAATTTAAGAACCTTAAAACGAATCTCACCCTGAATATCATATCAGTGTCTCCAGGACAGCAAAGGCACTAAACAGGAAATCATCTAAGATCAGGTCCACATTGACAAAGTCAAAACAAGTCCCAGGCCTCAGATAACTACACCACCTGCCACCTCTTGGTAGCTCCTGCCTGTGAATGCTGGGGAAGTGTTTCCACCATCATATAAATGGAACCCTTCCTCTTTCCTGCTGGCCCCAGTATGAGGAGCTGCAGCAGACAGCTGGCCGGCACGGTGATGATCTTCGCAACACCAAGCATGAGATCTCTGAGATGAACCGGATGATCCAGAGGCTGAGAGCGGAGATCGACAATGTGAAGAAGCAGGTAAGGAGAAGTCAAAAGAAGGTAGGGGATGGGGGTGGGAGGTGGGTGGGAGGGGGCTGAGCTCTGAAAGGGAGACCTACTTTGTTGCACTTCTTCTAGACAGGCACACACACACACTAAGCTGAACCAAGTACCAGCATTTCGATGTTTTCCCATCTATAGTGACCAGAACAAATGTTCTGGCTTCTCTCTGGAAACTCAGAAAGAGATACCGCAGGCCCAGCTCACTACTAAACTGCCCTGACTTTTCTTCCTTTCCCTCTGTAGTGTGCCAACCTGCAGAACGCCATTGCTGATGCTGAGCAGCGTGGGGAGCTGGCCCTTAAGGATGCCAGGAACAAGCTGGCTGAGCTGGAGGATGCCCTGCAGAAGGCCAAGCAGGACATGGCCCGGCTGCTGCGCGAGTACCAGGAGCTGATGAACACCAAGCTGGCCCTGGACGTGGAGATCGCCACCTACAGGAAGCTGCTGGAGGGCGAGGAGTGCAGGTGCGCAACACAGGGCTGACATCACAAGTGTGGGGTGGCCTCACATTTGATCCATGGAGCTTCTTCTCCGCTACCCGGTGCCAAACACACACAAGTGACCACTATCCTGTGCATGATAATTATCTATCATTAATCTGGAGTCAATCTGACACCTGGGCATATAGCTGACCTATGCAATATAGTCCCAACTCACTTTCCTAACCTTATTCCCACCACTAGTATTTTTGGACACTGCCTCTCCTTCAAACAACTAGACAATTGAACACATGTCTTCTCCATTCTTCAGGTTCCTCTTCCTTCAGGAAGCCTTTCAGGATTACTCCAGCTGAGTTAAATTCACCCGCCTTTGGGTTCTCAAACTACTCTGTTTTCTTTAGTCTTCTACTGCTCACTGCTTACTTTCTATTAGAAGTATTTCAGTCCACGTCAACTCCTCTCATAAAATGTGAGCTCCTGCAAGGCAAAAACTGCTTCAGACATATTCATAGTTCCCAGTCTCTTCCTCATGCTTTCCATATAATGGGTGGAGGAGAAGGTGAATTATAATCCCCCTTCGATAACCTGTTTCCAGGTCAGGTCCTCTTCCTTGCAAAGTCCCTTCAGAGAGCTACCTCTTACTCTAATTTAAGCAGGTTATTTTTAATTTTTCATTTATTTTTATTTTTGTGTGTATGCAAGCTCCTTGCTTCCTAGATCAAGCCTTAAACATGACTCCAGGCATTGTCTTTGGGGGAATTTTTAACTTTTATTTCAATTGTTCCCCTTTCAGACTGAGTGGAGAAGGAGTTGGACCAGTCAACATCTGTAAGTAACTTTAAACATACATTAACAATGATAATAGATGCCATTTGGTGTCAACTCAGAGTCCTGATGTTTCTAGATTCCAGACATTCCCATCCCAATATATGGTTAATGAATACACTCAGAGGTGGGGGAAGGACACAGATTGAGACATGAAGCAATGTGGCTCATGTCTTATCTCTTAAAGGGTGGCTCTGTATCTTACATGTATTGCACCCTGCCCCCCCTGCACCCCACTCCCCTGCACCCCACCCCCAACTTAGCACCATTCTTTGCCTACTATATTCATCAACCTTCTGTTAGGGACCTTAACTAAATGACTTAGTTTTCGGAGCCTCATTCGCTGCTCTGTAAAAAAGGGCCAGGTACCGTGATAACATTAACAGGATCAAATAAATTGGACCTGTAGGATCAATCTGACATTTGGTCTCACCAAGTTCTCCCTGCTTTCTCTGCAGCTGTTGTCACGAGCAGCGTCTCCTCTGGCTACGGAAGTGGAGGCGGTGGCGGCTACGGTGGCGGTCTCGGCGGTGGTCTCGGTGGCGGCTACGGCGGCGGTCTGGGCGGCGGCCTCGGTGGCGGCCTCGGAGGTGGTCTTGGCGGAGGTGGCGGCTACTACTCCAGCAGCAGTGGGGGCGGCGGCACAGGCAGTTTGCTCAGTGCAGGGGGTTCTGGCTTCAGTTCAAGCAGTGGCCGAGGCGTGGGGGGTAGCTTTGGCAGCGGAGGTGGGGGCAGCAGCTCCAGCGTCAAATTTGTCTCCACCACCTCCTCCTCGCGGAAGAGCTACAAGAGTTAAGAGCCTGTGCAAGTCCGCCTCCCAAGGGCAGCGACTGGCCTCTGGTGACTGCCTCTTTTAGGTGGTGGCCAAGCCAAGTTTTCTCTTTTACTGGAGTGTAGTGTAGACCACGCCAACTGCAGAACCACAGTCTTCAGTTCCGGAAAAGGCCCGATATCTAGTCTCCTGTGCAGTGATCCTACGTTCTGCTTCAGATCAGCCTTTAAGTCTCTACAGCATGATCCTTGATGAGAGGAAAATACAAAGTTTTCCAGTACCCAAACCATGAAAACGGTTCCCACCCCAACACCCAATTTTGTTCTGGTTCTGACTACCTCCAGAGTGTGTTCAATAAAATGCTTTTCTAATATAAGCTGCTGTACATAATTGTTTATTCAAGGCCTACAACCAGCCTAGAGACCTCCTGGGGCTCATTATGTTCAGATGTGATTGGTTCCTTTGACAATTCACAGGGAGATGGAATAACCTTGAAGGGAGTGGGCCATCCTGAGTGGTCTGGAGACTCCAAGAGTCATGCAAGAAGGTTGCTAAAGCCTCTAGAATGAAGGAATCCCTGCAGGGCATGAAAAGGGGTGTCCATTGGATTGCAATTTGGACAGATTGTAGAGCCTTTTGTTGTGTGTGTGTGTGTGTGGGGCCCATTCAAGGTGGGCCAGTTTGCAAGTAACAGCATAAGTCATCTTAAGGAAAATTTATATAAGAAATATGGGGTCTCTAGAACCCAAAGAGGCCTAAAATTGGGCCTGTTCTAATATGGGTACTGAAAGGACTAGTAGCTGTTTCTTAACAGTGTCGGGGATGGAGTGGTCGTCACATTACCAGGTAATTTCAGGAATTTAACTGAGGTGACTGGAACTTGTACTATGTGTGGGACAATGCATGTCCCATCCTCTTTCTGTGAGCTCCTTTGTGAATATTTGTCTGTCCTGAGTGAATGTGTCTAGTGATTCTCTTTGGCAGAGGATTCCTCAATGTAATATCACCACTGTGCTCCCAGGGAAAGTCAGATGCACCTAAGATCTTGTCTGCAAAGACCCTGCAATGGCAACACTGTGCAGGGACTCCAGGAGTGTCTGGGTAAAGATTTATTGTGCCCCTTCAAAGGTAAAGGCAAACTGTGACCGATAGTTTGTTGAAATGGCCACCAAACAAAGCGTTATTAACCAAATTCATAAAAGCAAAATATTTACCAGTTGCTAATTGGTTAGAGTCAGCAGTTTCAATAATTTTGGGCCAGGGACCTTAATCAGTGAGCCCATGGCATTGGTGGTGGTAGTCCTCTGTGAGTCATCTTTACTCTTTCTGAATTTAAAAACAGGCCATATTGCGTTGCTGGAGAGAGTGGACAAGTCACTCCTTCTCTTAACATACCCCCTACATTAAGGCTTTACTCTTCGAAGGCTGTGTTTTAATAATAATAACTATTATTGGGCATAATAACTATTTTAACTGGGGTAAGGTCCGTGGAGTCCCATTTTGCCAAGCCAATTTGTAAGTGTCAATGACTTAATTTAATTTCTTGGTTTCTCATTGGGGCACAGTGTCCATAGCCACTGCAAGATATTTTAGGGGACAACTGATTGTGTGATCATGTGAAGTGTAGGTAAATCAATAGCTCTGACAATTAAAGTGAGGAATAGTTGTTCGTTCTCTATTTTGTGTTCAGTAAATTCCCCCAAATTATAGGATAACTTGTTTAAATTTAGTGAGATCCTTAGGCATAGGCATAATTTAAGCTCCCGTATGGATTAAGGCCATGAAAATTTGCCATTTGGTGTATTTCATCAGCTGTTAAAATTAATTCAGAACCTATATGGTAGAGGCCTTATGCAAAGCCAATCCACATCTCTTTTTTAAAAAATCTTTTTGATATATAAATTTTTGATTTCTGATTGCAAGAAATTATGGTTTAGTTTTTGTTTCCTCCTCCTATTTCTTTCTTTTCTTCCTGTCACTTTCTTTTTTCCTTTCCTTTCATCCTTCCTCCTTTCCTTTCTTCCTTCTCCCCCCTTTTCTTTTCTATGGTTCCTGGATATACTTGTGGGAGAGAGGGATTCTCTCCACCTGCTCATACCTATAAATTTTTTCTTCAGAGAACATTAAATTAGTATCATCAGAGTTCAGGGCTTCCTCCACAAAAATAGTTTATTAAGCTTAGTTATGCCACAAGGCATCATATGTATTTACCTCTAGAGCCCTAAGAATTGTTTTTTCCCCCCAAATGGAGGCATAGGCAGCAGCAGCAAAGGCATTTTGTAGGGTCCTAGTAAACCACCTGCCTTTAAGAGTGTGGCCTCAGCATGCCACATAGTAACTGCTCATCATCCACATGAGTGATCACCTGGTAGACCCATATATTGCACAGGTTATCAATACCTACTTCAGATACACACCAGTATTCACAAGGTAAGAGTTATTCCCTTGAGCTTAGTGCCAGTCATTACTTATAGAGGAACCGAGAAACAGAATTCAATATAAGACACATTGATTAGTTGAGGTTGTGATACATGACCCAATGCCACTTTGAGGAGGACCCCAACCCATACTCCTGACTCTAAGTGACTGTTGAGATTCTGATTTAGGTCAGCTAAGTCTGTAACAGAGACCTTGGTAGAATTCTGTAAATGTAGCACAAAGCAGAACAGCTCAAGGTGTAAGGTTGACATCAGGCAGCAACACAGCTCAGAGAACCCACCAGCCAGAAAGCAGCAGCTCCAAGTGCATGCTCACAAGCAGATGGCAGAGCGAGACTGTAAGCCAAAGCAAGAAAAGAGAGACCCCAGTGGTAACAATCATCATCTAGACATTCTGTTCATGGCACCAATTATTGTGAGTACTTTACAGAGACAAGATGAATCTCCACTTAAAATTTGGTTCAGCTGTTGAAACTGATGATGCCACCCATACCAAGATGTTATGAAAATGTATATTACTCTCATAATAAAGCTTTCCGAAGAAAGCAAGACAAAGTTCCCAAGCTGGTCCAAATATGGCTTGAAAGAACAAAGAAAGGAGACTAGAGTAAAATTTTTATGGTGATTGGGGTGGGGACAGGTTGAAGATTCCCACTTAGTGTTTGAAGTTCCTACCAGTCACAAAGAAGGGATTATCCAGGCTTTCTTATGAGTTGTTTCAGATGTAGGTAGAAGAGAAAGAAGGGTGGATCTTGCAAGTCCTAAAACGTCAAATATCATTACAGTAAGTTTGTTTTAACATGGAAAAAATCCAATCATATAATGCACAGCTTTAACAGATTAAAAGAAGAGAAATCAAATGATCATAATGATCATCTTTCCCTCAAAAGTAGACATCATGTATTAAAAATGATAATCAAAAGTTTCTCATTGACATCAGGAAGAAAGCAAAGATAGCTATAATTACAATTATTCAGCATTATACTGTTTATTACAGCCAGCACAATAAGACAAGTCAAAGAAATAAACATCTTAAGAATTAGAAAGAAAGCAAGCAAACTATGCTTACTCACATAACACATAACTACATGTATATAAAATCAAAAGCTTTCCAAACTATCAGAATTAGTAAGTGAATTTATCAAGGTGACTAGAAAATCAATATAAAATCAATTGTATTTCTGTATACTAGCAAGAAAAATTATAAAATAAAATTTAAGATACCATTTCTAGTTGCATAAAAAATATCTGATACCCAGAACTAAATGTGGCCAAAGACATAAAAAACTTATATACAGAAAACTATAAAATTTTATTGAAAATGACTAAAGAAACCTAAAAACCCCAGTTATACAGTTATGTGTTATCTTTGTGAATTAGAAAATTTATTTTGTAAACATATCAGTTTCCCCTAATTGATTCAAAGCAATTTCGGTCAAATTTCAGCTGGTATTTTACAAAAACTGATACACCTCTTCTAAAATTTGTATGGAAATAAAAAGATCAGAAATAGTCAAAACAATCCTGAAAAAGAAGACCAAAGTTCTTATGTTTCAAATATTGAGACTTATTATAAAGACCTAATAATTAAGAAAATGTGGTATTGATATAATGATTGAAAAGTGGGCCAGTGGAACAATACAGAGAATCTAGAAACAAACCACATATAGACTTGTTAGATTCACAACAACAGTGCCATTGTTGTGCAATAGGGAAGGGATAACTCTGCACAGCAAATTGTGTCAGGCCTGTTGGCTCTCCACATGGGAAAAAAAAACCCTCTGGTCATGACTCCTAGTTCATACCATCCTCAAAAATCCATTTCAGCTGTGTTATAATCCTACCTGTAAAAGTAAAAGAATAATGTATTTAGAAGAAAATAGGATATATCATGATGACCAGCAAGGAGGCAAACTTTCTTTTTTATTCCAACTGTGAAGTTATTTTATTTTATTTTTTAAATTGATCAGGGGTTTATTTAGTATCTTTTTTTTAACATTTTTTATTGATTATGCCATTACATTTGTTCTATTTCCCCCCTCCGTTCCCCTCCACCCTGCGCACCCCTCCCCCACCATTCCCCCCCTTTAGTTCATGAACACATGTCTCAAGTTCTTTAGATTCTGTATTTCCCCTACTATTCTTACCCTCCCCCTATCTATTTTCTATCTACTGTCTATGCTACTTATTTTCTGTACCTTCTCCCCCCTTCTCCTTCTCCCACTCCCATGTTGCTAATCCTCCACGTGATCTTCATTTCTATGGTTCATTCCTGATCTAGCTGTCCTCTTAATTTGCTTTTGTTTTAGGTGTGGTTGTTGATAACTATGAGTTTGCTGTCCTTTCACTGTTCATCTTTTTTATCTTCTTTTTCTTAGGTAAGTCCCTTTAACATTTCATATAATAAGGGCTTGGTGATGATGAACTCTTTGAATTTGGTCTTATCTGAGAAGCACTTTATCTGTCCTTCCATTTTAAATGAAAGTTTTGCTGGATAGAGCAATCTTGGTTGTAGGTCTTTGGTTTTCATAACTTGGAATACCTCTTTCCAGCCCCTTCTTGCCTGTAAGGTGTCTTTTGAGAAAGCTAACAGTCTGATGGGAACTCCTTTGTAGGTGACTGTCCCCTTAGCTCCTGCTGCTTCTAGGATTCTCCCCTTCATTTTAATCTTGGCTAATAAACACCATAAAAATTGCTTACCATAAGAGACTATGAACCTCTGCTCACAAAACAACATGAAGAGAGCAAAACAGCAAACCCCACCAAAGAAAAGAGATTTGCAATACAATATATCTCTCAAAGAAATTGCATGCAGAATGTCCCAATAACTACAAAACACTGTCCACAATAGCATTGTTTTTAAGTGCACATGGGACATTCACAAAGAGAGACATATGCTAAGCCAATTTCGAAAGACTGAAGTTATATAGACTATATA